CTTGACTAGGTTCAATCTTGAACCACAACGTTTGTTGGTTAGCAAACGGATTTGACGGGGCTAGAGGGAGACTTTAATAGGACCCAGGGAAGGACTAAGTAACAATATGACAGATTCTGGTCAACATTCCCAGCACAAGAGTGAAGGAGGTGATTACAATAGTGTGGAGTGTGAAGAGTTTTCATAAATGTCGCTCGAAGGAGCACACCACACTACATTAAAAATAAGCACGGTGAAAATTTTGACAGGGAAGGCATGATAGGACGATATAGGAAATATGAATAGCCCAGGGCAGAAGGGGAGATACCACAACTGTTTAGCACACGTTTGGTCAAAGGATGGGCTTCACTTGTCTCTTTGACGAGTTGTATTATTGTGCTACGAATGCCGAGACTCACTGACGATGCCGGCGAAACGTCTGGGAATGTACCACGTCTACAGTTCTACTCTGAAAATGATGATGCATACGATGGACTCCGGACTATGTGCGTTCCTCTAAGTATTCCTACCAATATGACCAAGTTGCGAAAACAAAGTCAAACAACTTCTATACAACGAAAGGAGACAGCGACAACACAAAAGGCCACACCATCTTGGTTTTCATACCATAGATATATGCTTTACAAAGACTTAATTTAACAATTAGTTCTCTGTTTAGTAGTTGTTTGATCTTGTTTGTGCAACCTGGTCATATTGACAGGAAGATCTGGAGGAAAGCACCTTTTCCGCAGCCCATAGTATGTCTGATAGTCGGACCGCCAACTTGGTACATTCCCAGACGTTTTGCCGGCTCACTGACGGTGCCGGAAAACGTCTGGGAATGTACCAAATCCACGGTCCGACTCTGGAATAAAGCAAGCATGCTATGGACTCCGGAGAAGGGGCCTTCCTCTAGGTCTTCCTGCCAAAATGACCAAGTTGCTAAATAAGATAAAACAACACCAATACAACAAAAGGAGGCCGCGATCCTACAAAGGGCCACGCCATCTTAGTCTTCATACCCTAGTTCTCTGTTTGTCTTCGTATGGCTTATTTATATAAGGAATAAGACTTAATGAGACCTACGAGAGTTTCAAGAAATCCTATGGTCTACAATAGTTGAGCCAGTTCGAATGAAACTGTATGAAAAAGTGATTCGAAGGATGATTCCACAAGAATATAACCACTGATTCTTCTTGGACAGCTGTCGTTCGGCTTGACAGGGGTGATCTTATTGAGGCTAGTCCTAAGGCAATCCCCACTGATTAAGGTGAAAAAATTATAAGCATTTGCCTGCCACATCATGGATATCATCAGAAAAGAGGATTATTGATAAGAACATATTGCACCTAATGAGTCAAAAAGACTCAATTATTCATACCTGAATGCGTTATATAAGCCCCAAGCTTATTTATTTTGATGAGGAACAAGATGAATTTGTTTGACCAATTCATACGCCAACCTAGAAGCATGTTTTTACGTCCTTATGTAAAAAAGCAGTGATATCTCAAAGTAATCAGAACATAATATCTGTTTTCCGCAATCCCCCAATTTTTATTTTTAGAATCACTCTGAGTAATGTCGGACACACGTCTAAGTAGGCTGATAAAACATTAATTTTTTTATGAATTCAGTTGCGGAGGCATTGTGTTCGGGTAATAAATTACCTTAAGGCTTAAGTTTTCAGACAAATTTTTTTGAAAAGTAGCTTCTGCTCTAAAATGCTTCACAGTCGCTAAGATTCAAAAACTGCTATACATGTATAAAAGCCTAAATGTAAAATAAGTTATAGGAAT